TGTGTGTGTGAGCATATGTGATTTTTCTGGGACAGTCGACAGCTTGCACCCTATTTTTAAAGGAGCCTGTGATCCAACAGAGGTTAGGAATCACTGCTCATAATGATTATTTCTCCATTCAAGTAATCCCCTTGCGAAACAACAGATTTGCTTCAGTAACATTGCCATGGTTAAAAGAACTTTTTTAGAACTACATGAATGAAGTATCTTTAAATTCTGATTTTTAATACAAAGTTGAATCACTTAATTGCTCTTGTATCCTTGCCTTTCCCTGTATCAAATATACCCTTAAAGGGAAAAAGGGACACACAAAAACAATTAAGGTAAACAGGAATGAATGAAGCTGCTCTAAATGAGACACCTCTTTATGGTCACACATCATATGTGCTGCCATCGGCTCCAACTCAGCATAGACAACATCCTTCCCCATCGTGCACACCCCATTCTATCGATGGCACTGTTTTTCATCATTACACAAGCTCAAAACCTCAGTCATCTCTGTCTCTTCCCATACTTGTTGGTAACATTCCTGTTTAGGCTTTCTTGAAAGTGCTGCTCAAGTCTGTTTTATTACTTTACCACATCGTACTCCAGGGCCACATCACATAATGCCTGAACTATTCCATTGCTTTCACTGGTCATTCCCCTCCTTGGTCTTCAATGGGTCCTTATTACTCAGATAATCAAGACCCCAAATCCCTGCCTACCATGCAAGGTCTCAATTAGCTTGTCTCAACTTAATTCTGGCACTTACCACAAATTGTACCCAGCACTGTTCTAAAACTAGGTCAGGTATTTTGTGCCAAGTGAGAAATCAGAAGCCTCTGCGGCAAGAGAAGTGGTACTAATGGTGGCATCTTGTCACTGAGCAATGGAGAAAATTATATTTGCAGTCTTGTTATTCAAGACAGCAGTTTCTGACCATGACCCATTAAACATAAAGCTATACCTTCCTTCCCTGAAACACCCAGAGAATCAAGCCACACAACTGAAGGCTATCGGCAGGCAATGGACCTCAATATAAATGTAAATGCTTCATCTATTTTTAAGGTTATTTATCATATTAATCTTTATCAACCAATGACAGTTTCTGCTCTCAAGAAGCTTGCCAAGTTGTACAGTTCAATCAGTGTTTATTGATTTAAACCTAGAATTCAACAAGAATTTCAAAAAGCTGGTACTTTTTAAAGTATTAAAGGGATGAGAGGATTCGTTATGCCTAAAGTTGCAAAAGCAATATTATCATTAGCAGCTGCACCTTGCACAAAGGCCCTATGAAAAAGGATCTACTAAACGTGATACATTTTCCCAGGTCAAAAGTTTTCACAAGTGGTGCTGTAAACTAAATAGGAAGTTCTTATGTTACTAACATTGAAAAAAAACCCAGAAAAGTCTGAAAGCTACATAAGGACAGGAAAGCTGAAGGCAATGTGTTTATAAGAGAGAAAATAGCTGCTCGTATATGTTAGAGATTAAAAAACTCAGTCCTTTACCTTTTCCCTCCCAATAAGCCCTCCTCTACCCTCCCAAACCCTCTTTCCCACTCCTAATCTTAAATTGGGGAGAACTTTGGATCTTTTGTCTCTTAAAATTCTGGTTACTATATAATTCATTTTAACGATTAAGTAAAAACAAGTTTTAAAGTTTTGGCCACTCAATAATTCTCTTAACATTTTTTTTCCTTACCGTCATGTAATCAACTTCTTCAGGGTGCTCAAAAGCAATAAATTCTTCAAGATTCAGACCAGGACCTGAATCCTGGTTAGCTTTCTCAAATCGTTTTTTGTCCTTTAAATGAAGCTTTGAAAATTAAATATTGAACATGTTTAAAGGTCTCATCCATAACATTATCAAATATACTTTGAAAAATACACACACACTGTGAACTATGAAATACATTTTCAAACATAAGCCTATCTCCACCTCACCCTTTTGAAGGAAGGTTGGGCAAGTAACATTTATTAGAAACAGCATAAGAGACATGGGTCTAGAGTCAGAGAGAATCAGATCTGAATTTCAGCAATGCCACTTGCTGGCTGTGTTATGTGTTGCTTAGGGCAAACTGCTTACCTCTACAGTTTCTGCAACTATAAAACTGGGATAAAAAATCTCCAGTAAGCAACCGGAATAAGAATCCCTATCAAACAATTAGTAAACCTTAAGTATTTTTAAAATGTTACATATTACTATTGACAGTAAAACTGAGATTAAATG